ATTTGAGGGGACCTGGCAGTGTGCACCGAGAGCCTGTATGATCAGAGTCCTAGCAACGGCGACAATTTGTAGTAGAACGATAAGCTAAGACCCCAGCAGCGTTGGCAATTTTGTTGGGAAGTAGAGTGTGGATGACATCATGTTTCTTAATGATATAACTGAACTGGTGGTGTCAGCTGATTCTGCAAGTATGGTGACAAGTGAGTTACTTTTGAACTTCAGGGGTTGTTGTGCTAGTACCGCGCTCGGGGATGTTGAGAATTTGTTATGGATACGATGAGGGCTGTTGATAAACAAAAAATTGGGCACCAGAGGTCTGAACTGTAGAGTGAGTCTGTGTGTTCTGGTAGTTTACCATTGGTGACGAGGAGCTTTTGATGTAATTCATGAGATTCGGAAGCCTTTCGATGTTGCTATAGAGTCATCTATTATAGCTGAAGTGCCCCTGCAGCGGTTGCAAGGTCTTCATTGTTATCTAAGGGTTTCTTAAGTATGCGCTCATGCTCGGGCTTGTTGAGAAGTCAGTGTTTCTCTGTAGATTTCACGTTCAGTGCGAAGATTTTGAGCTTCATATAGTTATGCAAGCTGTGCAGCGTTGTTAATTATAGTAGAGTTGGTACGTTTTAATTCAAGCTATCTTCGTCGCGCTATTCGGTACATTCCGTACGGTGTCCCGTACGTAAAAGAAGGTGTTACGTTCGTGACGGATGCGAGCAAGGTTAGCACATGATAAAGACACGCTCGGCTGCACACGTGTTGCAATTACCCGAGCCGTATCATGCTCTTCAATGTGTGTGTATCGTCAATGGCGGACACGTTCAAGGTTGGTCTGAAACTGATTGCCAGCTTTGTATTCATAGTTGCGCTCCGCTATATACAACAGCACATATCCAAGCAGCAGTCATCATAACAGGCGCTGCATTCCTGAAACTCCCATGCCAGTGCATACGGCTTCTTCGCTTCTACGGTTTACATACAGCACGCCAATTTGCGGAATTTCTTGATGGCTACCAGGGACTACATATTGACTTGATCAACAGTACAAACCCACTCACCCCACCTACGTGACTCGCTCGGACACGAAACAGACCTCCGGAAATTTCCGTTCAGTACTTACGCTTCACGAGCATCTTGGGTTCCTTCTTCATGAATAGCTGTCACCGAAATATCCCCATCCAGTACTGGTCGATAGATTTATGTTCCCCGTACCCCTTCTCATCACTCTGTTGAAGTACTATATCTAGATTTTGGTATAGACCAGATCTTCGAGACTTATGGTACCGCCTATGAAACTTCCCGCTATGGCTAACCAGGATATCCCAACTACATCAGTTGTGTGGTGTGGTATCGGGCAGCCTCCAACTTTGCTCCAAAACAGAATTGCGGATGGCAACCTCACCCTTCTTGGTATCAAGTTCAAAAGCAATCAGACTGGCTCACCCCATATTACTACTACGAGTGTGGGCCAGCTGTATCCCACACAATGGCACACAAGTTTTAGCTCACACCCAATGGTAGAGATGTTGTGTATCCATCGTCGCAAATTAACATGCATCCATCGCCCCGAGCTTCTCGCGACAGTTCGACAATCTTAACTTTCCTTCGATCTTCCCAGAACCTCTCCAACGAATATGAAGCCTGATGTACATATAGATGTATAACAGTTTACCCAAATTGAATTGATATTATCCATATAGCGGTGACAGTAAAGAGTTCAGAGAAAGCTGCATGGGCGCTGCAAGTAATACTGATACGTGGATCGGCGTCGACTTCGAGTATAGTGGAAAAGTTATGCCTAGTGAGTTTGATGTACTCGAATGGCATGATGAATATCACGAGTAATCGTAGTGGTAACGCGTGGCTCATTCGGAGACCAAAAACTAGTGGGGATATGCCCCGTAGGTGGTCAACGTAATGTCATGGCTGGAGAATGAATATGTATACGTCAGGCCGGAGTTCATTAAAGAAGCTCGGGAGTGAATAAATAAACCTTTTGTGGCGCACTGTCTATAGTTATTCATTCTGATTGACTGACACAACCTGATGCCGAAGCGAGTGCCACAGCAGGCAACTGTAAACTGGTTCCTCCTGACACTACAGCGGTGATGGGCACTACTACTTATGGTCTGGTGAAGCATAGTTGCAAGCATCCCTCGACGTGAAAAAATCACTCTCAGAATACACGTTGCCTGAAAACGGCAGTACTAAGTCACACAAAAAAAAAATTCTCGCCAAAGAAGCTCGGGGTAGTAGATTTTTGGCACATAATAGGCAATGAGCGACGCTGCGGACGGAGTGAAATTCTTAGATAGTTCATTCAAACTAGAACGACACGACCGGGCATAATACACCTGGCGTTGATATAATAGCTTAGAGAGTACATGGGATTAAGACTTACGCTTTGTTCGCCATTTATTCGTCTGAGCATCTTTGTCATACTGTACGACAGGCACATACAAAACACAATATAATTACTGCTGAAGATTTGTAGGGGAATATATATACCATTATGTGATTGATAGATGCTCATCTTGTGAGATGCAAACACACCCTTTCTTTATCGGTGAGCAAACAGTGACCGCTACGTCGATTTAAAAACACGTACGTGACTTTACACAAAAACTCTAAAATGTAAATAACTGGGTCGTTGTATTCAAAAGCAAGTAGGACTTTGATCTGGGTTGCGTTGAGTATAAGCGTGTGTATTTGATGTTGTTGCTAAATATACAAAGGTATATCCAAAATCGATACGCACATTAATATACACATGGAGACTTAGAGAACAATTCTGCTACTTATTTGAGTACACTTAAAACTATATGTACATACTGAGATTTGGTAGCCATTCACTGGTGATGTGGGCACATACGTAAAATGAAATGTATATATATATATATGTATATGCAGATTTCCCTTGAATATCGATTAAGCAGAATCACATGCGGGAATGTATAGCCAGCCAACAAACACTTGAATAAGCGCGTGCCAGTGTTACATAAAGAACCATAAACTACAAAGTGGCTAAAGGGCATGATTACACGCGAACAAGCATATAATAAATTCCAGTTCCTGCGCGAATACACATGTTCATCATTTTACACAATTGTATGCCGAAAAATGTGTTTTTCATTATTATCTTAATGCGAAGTTAGTGAAGGTATATACACTTAATATCAACTGTATCTGCAACGTAAGTAAGCACAGCTATATACAAACATCTACTGGTGCGTTCATGCTAGTGATTCCGAAAACGATAATCTGAGGGTTTGGAAATTCAACATATATATGACAGTTCGTATTCTCCAAAAAAAAATATTGCACCATTGTAATGTTAGGGCTGTACTAAACACATCTGTCAATTACATATTTGTTGATCTTGGCTATGAGAATGTATAAATTCGCAGTCCAGAAGAATTTCTAGTAATCTGAAGTGAGATATTACATTTCGTGGCTCATTTAGAATCCATGACGAATTTCAAGACCCTCTTCTAGCTCAAGAGGTTGAAAGCGATCACACCCGGAGTATCAAAATTTGTAGCTGTCACATTATATGTGCTCTGTTTATTCGTGATATAAAAACATACAATTAACATATTATGTTCTGCTTGTCTGTGGTTTTTTGAACATATCAATCGCACATACCACAGGGTGGTCAAGTTCAAAGTTCTCGTACTCGAATACTGTGACATTCGTGAAAAAAATCTCGCCAATTAATCATTTGGTATATCTCGACGATGAGGGCGGATATTATGAGGGTTCCAGAAGATTTCCTAGCCTACTGAAGTGAGATAATTATGCAAAGACACGCAGATATGCATACTATGTTTTAACTTCTAATACAATTTTGACCTTTGTATATGTATACTTTGTACAATTCTACGAAGTATACATAGCTACGAATTAGATAGACCACGAGTCTACTCCCAAACAGTCACGAAATGCAAACGTCATGCAGAATATTTATGATCTAAAATTAGCCTTATTTGTAGATATATCTATTCTTTCCAAATCAAGACACCGCAACATACGGTCGATATCCAAAATATTTATTCGAGTCTGAAAAGTATGAAGACGAGAATAGTGACTACATATACACGTGCACAGTTTTAATCCTAGAAATGCTCTTGAATTAATTGCAGATACCAACTATTTACTAGAATAGAATCTTGTACAGTACCTACCGAAGAACGTACATACTAAACATGATGATGAACTATGCCATATGCCCATAAATATTTCCAAATAAACACAGACGCCACTGCTCCCAAATTATCGCACGACAAAATATGGATGTTAGTGGAACTGCTTTCGTCCAAGAAATGACCCATGCACAAGTCTCCATTTCATAATCATTTCCAACTATGTTTTGGTCTATATGATTTGACTATCGAGTATTTCGGTAATATCAATTTCGGTACGTTCATATGTTTATTATGTATACGGGGGAAACATGTATTCAAATTAAGTACACACTAAGCTATAAATGGCAACACATTATACCCAAATACTTGTAAGGTGTGATCGTGTCTATCAGCTCCGGGAATCAGCTATGCTACACATCTAGTATATATATATATATATATATTTATAAATATATCAGTTCTGCATCAGATAGTACAATGAAAAGTGTGTATACAGGCAGCCTGTTGAATGGGGATAACTACTTGCTTCTAAACGGTAAGATTCTATGATCCTCTACACTCGTCGGCAACTTACTAACATTATACGTTTAGTCACGGGTTTGTGCCCCTGCGATTAGATAATTCTTGAACGAAACTGGTGGAGCATAACGGTTAGTTTTTGCAAAAGTACATTTGGATTGTTATCTACATGCTGAATATTCACTGCAGTAGTACGCGAAATATACACAGACACCAACATATCCAGGTCTTAAACACACATTTTCATACCTAATTTTATATAAAATATGCGGATATGTGGGGATCCTGATCAAGAATACATACACACTTATACCTATAGCCAACCCAGGAGAAAACTAGGCACGGGTTTTATTTGTGATACTGGCTATTTGTGTTCGTTGATGTTTATTTTATAATATATAAATAAAAGATCTTGTACATGTTTAGATACAGACAAATGTATTGGAATGTCACCACGTGTGATTGAGAGCAACTCAACTTATATATCTACTTTTGCTGATATTCGTAAGTTTTATACCGTGAAGGACATACGCAAGTACCCGTGTCTTGGTACCTCTATCCCGTCCAGCATTCCTCAAGGACAGAGCACAGTTCTTGCATAGAGATTTATATTTTGCGACCATTGTCGCTATCGGGATCAGCTGCGTGGCTCGCTTGCTGCTTCGTCCTCATCTGACAGCTCATCATAACTTTCCAAAGCAGAAAGTAAGGGATCATTCTCAATCGTGGGAAAAAAGTACTGTGGCTGATTCCACAAGCTCTCGTCCTCAGGGAGACTGTAATGATCAGCAGTCTCCATGTGGTTTTTAAGACCATCAGCATTTCCTCCCTCCATGTCACATGATGGACAACGGTGGAGCGACATCTACGGGTATACATATAGAAGGCAATACGTGGATAAGGGTGCGGCAATGTAGGAGCGATCTCATACAAGGATACGCAAATCAATTTAGTAACCCATGCGCACTTAACGCGCTCCGAAAAATCACAAACCATATATGTACCTGTCTTCGAAAATAGTTGACTATTTTCACGCATTGGTAGAAATCCCAATTTCCCTGCTGTTTAAGAGCTTCGAAGTCGAAGCCGTGCGCTGATGTCATGTGCGAAAAGACCAACTTCGCGTCCTCCACAGTGGTGTCGCATAGCAGACAAACTGTTCTTTCAGTATCTTCTTCCCAATCATCCCATTCTTGTTCTGCACTAATGAGTGAAAAGGTGGAGTAAAATCTGTCAGCACATTTCGAACTGGATTTATAATGATTGCGTGTATTCTGTCCATAGTCATCGAAACCTTTAGAATAGTAAAGGATGGTAACAGATTGTCAAATGTCTTGCCTATAGTTACGCTAATGGTGAACAATATCACCATTCAGCAAGCTACATATCATGCGCTGATCTGTACTCTAAAATAATGCACATCTTCTGCAGCCACGCAAATTAGGCGATGGACAAATATCGCAAACATTCCAATTTGAGGATATTTCGGAAGATATCTCTCTCCAAGTATACACATAAAATTGTACCGACAACCAAACGCACAATAAAGCCGAGAAGATGCTACAACTTTAGTGATTAAACTCAGTCGAGAAAATGTATCTTAACTAAACACTATATACGTAAGACCTCAAAGGTAGGTTTGCGAAGACTAGCACACACCGCTAGATGATTGATGTACATACAGTAATTCACCGACCGTTGCCGTGTTCTCTCTGGATTCCGAGTCACTATCCATACCAGATGGATTTAAATACTCGGGAACCATCCATTTTTTCCCGGTCTCTACATAGTTAACAATATAGTAGCGATCATACGCAGTGTTGTTTGGATTCACCTTCATGTGCCTTTTCTTCCTCATATGTGCACGTAGAACGGGCTGTGATTTGAATGTTTTCTCGCACGAAAGACACTTTAACTTGCTCAACATAATCTCTAGATGGTCTAAAAATTCAGACACGAAGACTATATTATCTGGTAGCCCTACATTGAAGTGGTGGGCGGTCAGCATATGCTGGAACATGTCTGCTCGGTTCCCTTCAACTGTGGAGGTACAAAATAAACATTTACGTTTGAAATCAGATGCCGCCCTCTCCCTTTCTTGTACAGCTAGTACTTCATCTAGCCTTTCCTTTTCTAATCTGTTCCTCAGCTCAGCATCGATCGCCAGCTTATCGCTCAGCATGTAGATCAGAGTGCTTTCAGTTAACCCTCGTGTAGCAGACTTTACTGTGCTCTCAGCCTCCGGATAGCCCATGGGGTCTATAGTAAAGGCAAAATCTTCCAACATATGTGTAGTAAACTTCTCCTTCCAATATTGTAGATATTCATCAAGTTTTGCTATGTTCTCGACCTTTCCTACTATTAGTTTGTGCTCCAACGCCAGATGCTCCAGAACCTCAACCTGACCAACGACAATAACATCACACAGGCAACATGGGAAATTTTTGGACAACATAGGATTTGGAAAAGATACTATCTCGTCAGTGCTGACCTCTCCAACTTCTTCCTCTGACATTGTAGAGCTGCTTTCGAAAGACATACTAAATGTAATAGCTAGGTTATACAGTGGCATCATGAAATCCAGTGTTGTCGAGATGTATAGATCACACACGAGAACACGTGAGTTAATTTGGCGGGCAATATCATTGGTATTTTTCATAAACTCTATATAAATAAATATGTATTTAAATATATTTACATTTGTCTAAAACCCTGTTTTTAATTTAGAAGGCTAAGAGAGTATGTTTGTTTTGTTTAAAAAAACAACAACAACAAAAAAAACAACAAAATTGATTTCTGTCATCGAAGTATAAAAAAATAAATACTGTTCCTCGGACTAGTTGAGCGTAACGCAAAAGGTTTCGATTTTTATACGTTTTAACGCAATAGGCGTAGTGAGATTGATGGGCAACAATGCGATGCCTTTCAAGAGAGGAAACTAATACACAAATATTGAAAACATCATGCATATGTACATCAATGTTGCGGGCGAAAGGATGCAATCTTCCCTCTCTCAGTAGAGCGAAAGTATGGATTCGATCGTAGATCTGCGATTTGTGCTGCTAGAAATCGAGAAGAATACGGAACTGAGCGAGGTAATATCTTGGTATTCTGATCTTGTATTCTACTCGACACACATATGTGCCAAAAACACTCGCGTTCACTTGTGTCGGTAAACGGCCAGTTTAAACTTGATAAGTCTTTTGGTTCGTACAGGTGTTGCGTTCTGGATTGAATGGTGTGAGTGTATTGGAAAAGAGGGTACATCAAATTCTGCAGAGTCTGCACATGGCTAAGGATTCGACAGATGGTAAATGCTTTTTTGAATTTTTTGAATGTGAAGGATATTTTCGCTTATCTGATTATTAGAGGCGACGGAGTTCTCTTGTGTGTTACTGCTTAGTCAAAATGTTGAGAGGTAGCCCAAAATGTGCAAAATCATTATTATATACATATTGAGAACGCAGAATCAGACACTATATATACAAACATATATCGAGCGCATTCTTTCCCACAACCTTATCTTCGAGGCTAGGCTACCTCTGCGAGGGTAGCCCTATTTCTACGGAATACTGTGATGGTTATCCTTCAACTACTGATGTAAGTAGTATCTCTATAATATAGCATATATATATATATATATATATATATATATACAATATTATTAATATATTATAATACATACATACATACATACATACATACATACA